ACAGTTAAGGATCCTTGTGAAAAGGTAGCCATCTCCTTCTGCAACTGATATTTAAGGGGACCATTGCTTTCACCATACCTCTCGGCCAACTCATCCCATAATTGCTTAGCATTTTTTGTATAGATGAAAGCTTCAACAGTATCCTTAGAAATAAAATTAAGCATCCAGGAAATGACCATAGATTGTACCTTCTTATATTGTTCGAACTCCTCTGTACCCCGTTCTGGAATTTCCACCGTTCCATCGATGAAGCCAAGCTTCGACTTAGCTCCTAGGGCAAGCTTCATCGCATGACTCCAATGTAGATAATTTCCACCATTGAGCAAATTAGTTACCAGAACTAAACCAGGATGATCGGATCCATGAAGAGAGAGTGGATCTATATCTCGAGTGTAGGTGTACCGCCCAACGATCAGTCGACCTTGCTCATCAATGTTCTGCGCCATCGGAGATTAGAGACCCGCTCTAGATACCATGTAAACTTGAGTTAATATGTCAAATAATCGTTGAAATCACCAACAAAATATACAAAACCTAGATCACCATTAAAGTTGAGCTTGGAGCTCTGTAAATGTTCAATACAAAATTACAGTAGAAAACCCCCAGCTAACACACTTATATCACGTGGGGAACAGAGAAGCTAATAGAAAGATAACACATGTGCCAATAACTAAAACACGTGACAAGAAGAAAGTAACAACGGAAAAGAAGTGCGACTTAGTAAGTGTAGCGCGACTTCAGATAAAAGGAGTAATGACAGATAAAATGCTAAAACACTTTGCATGAACATAAACCATGCACAATCAATCACATTAAGCTCCATAATTCCAACAATATACACATACATATAAGTTTAGTTGTGTGTGTGTGTCTGTGTGATGTGTAGATGAAGATGATGACAGAGAGAGAGAGTGGGTCCACGTGAGTGCACGATTTTGGAGTTAGTGGTGTCCATTGTGTTGTGATGATGAAGGTGATGTATATTTTGACTGTGATGATGGAGCGTGTTTTACACGCTCGAGACTGCGGCTGGGCAATTGTGAGATTCACTGATGGACGCGGTTCGTGCCTCGTGGTGAAGATTTTGAAATATTATTGTAGAAGCACCTCATATTTAGCGTAATTGTAAAAAAAACCCAACTAAAAGTTCCTATTTTCAGTTTTTCACGCAAGTTGTTGGGTGAGATTGTTAGGCCACCATGTTGGACAAAACAAATCCCATTTCTCAGACTCAGCGAGTTTGTTTATATAAATTTTTAAAAATTCTTAATATTTTAATTCAATTATTTTTTTAACTTATTTTTAATTCAATTTCACTATCATCAATATTATCAATATAATTAAATAATATCAATCAATAATTCATACACACCACATCAATCTTAATTAACTATTTATCCACTCGTATTATTTTAACTAATCATCATTTCAGATCATTTATCTCATATTTTTACATCAAATCAACTTTTATTATTTTAATTCAAATATTATTTTAATATAATCACTAACAACTAATCATACCACTTTTTTCAAAACTAACCAAATCAAACCAAAAAATCTAAACAAAACAAAAAGAATCTATAAAGTGGAATTTTGACTTTATATTAAAATAATATTTAAAATAAAATAATTACAGTTGATTTGATGTAAAAGTGAAAGTGGAAGACGTATGTTGTGAAGTAGTTGTTAGCTAAAATTATGTGAATTGGTGAATAATAAATTACAATCGATGTGATGTGTAAGAATAATTAGATAGTATTATTTAATTATATTAATAATATTGAACATAATGTAGTTAGGTTAAAGTTGAATTAGATTGAGTATAAACTGAGTGTGAATGGAATATATTTTCATATACAAACAATGGCAAAAATTCTAATAAATCGTGTTCAAAGTGTATTTATTGTAGGACACGTGTCAATACACTATTTGTGAATAACTGTGGAGGACTCCATAAGTCGAGTCATCCGATGTCTCCATAGCAAAACTATAAACAATGGTTTTTATTTTTTTTTTTAAGAAAAAAACAAAATACTTGTCAACCAATCACTAAGGGGGTGATCGGATATGAATTCAACTGGAAAAAAAAAAACTAGTTTTTTTTAAGTATAGTTAAATTTTAGAAAACGTAGTATGGTTAGTTGTTAGTGGAATATTAAAATAATATTTAATTTGAAATAATTATAGGTTGATTTGATGTAAAAGTATGAGAAAATGATTGAAAGTGATGGTTAGTTAAAATTATATGAGTTGATTAATAGTGAATTAAAGTTCATGTGATGTGTACTATTGATTGGTTAATATTATTTAATTATATTGATAATATTGAGGATAGTGGGGTTGAGTTAAATTTGAGATTTGATTGATTTTTTTTTTTGAGTTGAAATCATAAACAATCACACCCTAATAAACTTAATGGACAGTTACAAATCTACACATTCATATACCTATTGAATACAATAAATAAATATCAGGTACGCATTACCCTGTACAGTAATGTACCCCTACCCACGGTGAGCATATTAATATGTGCGCACGGTGAATAGGGGAGCAATAACCCTACACTGTATGTATAGTAAATTTATGCTCCAATGTCAAAGGAAAAAAGTTAGATAAAAAGTTATGTGGGGAAAACATGTTTAGAATCACATAATTAAAGCCTAACCTTATACAATAGACAGCCTTTATAAAAAGCAATTATTGCCATTGATTTAAAGGCTTACCACGCCCATAATATCTTTTTTGTTCTTTCATCCACGGGTGTTTATAAAAAAAAAATTGAGAGTTGAAAAATGAATTGGATTAGCACAATTTATTGGTATATAGAATGAAACAGTCTGATTGGATATAAAAAATTTTGGTTTTGTTTTGATTTTTTTGTTTGGTTTGGTTATTTTTGAAAAAGATAGTATGATTAGCTGTTAGTGGGTATATTAAAATATTATTTAAAATAAAATGATTAAAGTTGATTTGATGTAAAATAGAAAACTTGAAGTGATGGTTAGTTAACATAATGTGAGTAGATGAATAGTGATTGAAGGTTGATGTGCTGTCTATGAATGATTGATTGATAATTATATTGATAATATTGATGATAGTAGAGTTGAGTTAAAAAAATGGTTGAGTTAAAAATGTTTAGATTTTTTTGAAAAATTTTGTATCCAATCATGCTCTCTGCATCTCATTCTACATTTAACATGAGAACCTTATTTTATTTATTTATTTATTTATTTTTTCATAATAGAACACAACGATGTTCTCTGGAAAAAATTCGCATCCGGAAAAAAGTGAGACGAAAAAGTAAAATAGGAAAAAGAAAGATAATTTTGATATTGTGAATATATACAAGATAAAAATGTAATAACGAGAATTGATATGATATAAAAATAATAAAATCGATGGATTTAGAAATGTGTGAATGGACGAATAGTATATTTTATTAGAAATGTGTATATAATTATTATTTTATATTTCTTAATTGGGTTAGTGGGATTTGTATAGAAAAAAAATGAAATGAAATGAATAGTATTTAAAAAAATAAATTATTTTTTATTTTCAATTTCAATAAGATAAATATTAACTACCAACAAAATTTAAAAATTCTTGAAACCAATGGCATATAAATGGTGGAAATTTCACCTAATTTTCCCTGTCAATTTTGTGCTTTTGCTAACTACTGAAACAGCTGCAGTTGAAATAAATGGATTGGTTATTTGTGTCCAAATTTTTGGTGGACAATTGCTACCAAACTATGTCACTTTGAAAATAGAAAAGGTCATGTTACAGTAGCAAACAAAATAACATAAAATTTGATATAACTTATATATATAAATTTGCTATTTTCCACATCACATCATATTCAAAATCTATAAATAATAATTTTATAGTGTTACCTTCTGTGAAACTTTGGCATCATTGATATTTTTTGTATCTATTTTTTTGCTAAAAATTAGTGTATTTTTACTTAGACCGACCGGCAAGAATCTAGCCGGAGGTGGACCCGGCACGGGTGGGGCCTTTCAGATTGGTTAAAAAGCAACCCGGTAGGCCCAGACATTGACTCCGTCTGGTCATCCCGTTTGACCCGAACACATATATACAAAGAATATTTTTTTAATTTAGATAAAGTAATGTTTATATATTTACGTGGTAAATATTTATGACGATTTATATAAATACAACATGCATATATGACTCATCCTTTGAGTTGCCAAGCTGGACACTCAATCATTCAAACAAGTTTCAGACTTTCAATCAGAGCTGATAAAAATTCCAATTCATGAAAGTGTTTCTTAAATACAAGCCTTGTTAGACTACACAATCTTTAGACCGCACACGTACAATTTTTTTGAATAAAAGGTCAATTTATTTCATAAATGTCATATTTGGTTAATGTTATTTAATTAAAAAAAATATATATTTCAACATGAAAAAATGCAATCACACATTTGTGCAATGTTATTATTCAAAATAAAGCATTTCAATATGAAAATATACGAACCTGTTGCAAAAGTACGATTGCCTATCAAACAACCGTTGGCCGTTGGGTATTCACTTCAACATGAAACTATATGAAGATTTCCTATCGACAACCGTCGGGTCCGACTAACAATCAGCTTATTATTTTCTAAAAGCAAGTCCATTTTGGAATTTGTACCAACATAAAAAGGAACCCCAAGAAATCCAAGGTACAATTCAAGGTCTTGAAAATAAGCAGTAAATAAAACAAGTAAAACATAGATACCAAATTGAAGAATACTGATCCATGAACAAAAACTCCTGAATATCTTTCAGCTCCAACACCATTCAATGCCTAGATTGCAAAAGCATTTCAAAAAGAAAATACAACAGGCCAGTTTTATTTCCTTATTTTTAGTAAATAGTTTCCTTTTAGTAAACATCACTCACAAACTTTTTTTTTATCTGAATATGTCAGAAAAATACAATTATTTTATTCAAATTCAATTGCTAAAACACAAGTAGCAGCATAAACTACGAGCTTACCCAATATGAATGTTAGAAACCGAGTCAGTAATCTTGGTAGTTCGTGGATCGTTGGCCTCTAGATGAACGCCACGTGGATTTTCTCTCACTAGCAAGGCCAGAACATTGAGCGAACTCCAGACCTTCACGACATTGCAGCTTGAAGCTCCCAAGGTAATGGCAAACACCGCGTCAAATCCACCTGCACCAGGAATACCAGCCAATAGAACTCTTTTTGTATTCATCGTGGTATCTAGCAGACTGGTTTGTGATTCGGGCTCTATCTGCAAAAAGGGTATGCATGATCAAGAAAAAAAAAAACCACAAAAAAAAAGGAAATAATGAATGGGCTTAAATAGGTATTGTAGTTTGGTTCTTGAACTATACAAAATTTTTAAAATTATTATGTTAAAATATTGCAAAATGAATGAGTTGATTAACGGTACTTACACTTTTCTGGAGAGTCAAATATTGAAAAAGATAAGGCAACAGTGAAATTGTTGACGGTGTAAAGTTAATAAATACAGCAAAAATAGAAACAAGAACTGTAAGAAATCAAATGCTAACTGCA